GCACGTGCTGGCGCAGCGGGAACAGACCCAGGCGTGACAAATTACTGAAAGGGCTCGGCTAAACTTGCGGCTGACGACCACCTGAGCCTGCGGACCGGCCATCAGCGCTCGATTCATTGCGCAGCCTTTTAGGCTGCGGTCTGCTTGTGGGCCCGCTTTAAACAAGGCAGAGAGGCTATAAAGGCTTTTCATGCTATGCCTAATAATATCCTGCTGTTTAATGAAAGACCTTGCACATCTAACACATAAGCATACAATGCGCAGAACAACTGCTAACACACCAGAAGTTTGTACCGATTTTGCTAAATATTGCACGGAAAAAGAGAGTGAGGAGATTTTGACTAGGTTAGCTTTACATCTCGTAAAATCCTTATTTATGAGATGGAAGACACCCCTAACCACACAGAAGACTGGAAAAAAAACCACTCAGCCAAACAGCTGGGCAGCTACAGGAGAGGCATCTGAAAAATAAGAGACTGAGCTGAGTTTAAGCCAAGGTCCAGAGAGCTGTGTAGATCAATCAGCAGCTTTAGAGGCGTACGAGGAAGATCCCAATTCAGTGCCGCTCTTGCAGATTAAAAAGCTGAAAGCGGTAGGTGCAGATACCACAGACTCAGCGAGGAAGACTGCTGCACTTCACCACCACCCTTGTCAGCTCAGCGCACTCCTTATGTCTCTCCCAGGCTCCCCTAAGCACAACTACCAGGAGCACCAGACAGCAGAGTGGCTCCTGCCATACGGGCAGCGAGTGAGATGCTCGTACTAATTTTCACTTACAGCCTAATCTAAAAAGCGTTAAGTCACTGCAGGAAAATTGAACTAAACTCTCTGCTATTTCTATTTTAATACATACACATATTAGGGAAAACAGTTTGGATTCATTAAAAAAAAAAAAAGTCAACTAAAGTTTTACCAAAGTTTAGGAATTTTAACGGAGGCATTAGGAACGTACTAAACAAGCTGTAAAGAACCCTCTGAAAAATACCTCCGGCCTGTAAATATAGGTCAAGAAAGCAGCATGACAGCACGAATACTATCTGATCTCTCACACAAAATCTTTGTTCTGTAACTTATTGAAGTTGCGCTTCTTGAATGCAAACAAAACCACCATTTTGCTACTTAATTGTGTTTATGTCAGAATCTTCTGTAGGCATCACCACGTTAGTCATCTGTCAGAGACCGTGGAGTCCCAAGTAATGTATTTTGAGGATCCGAGAGAACATAACATACCCGAAGAATAATAATATGAGATAGATGGGGAGGCGGAGGAGAAGACTCAGCATTTCAACACCATTTGTACAGGAGCAGTCTGAAACAGTAATTTTCAATTGCAACCTCAAGAAACTTCGTATTTATCACCATGTAAGAATGCTTTCATCCAGATAATCACTAATGTAATACTTGATCTGTCAAAACTGCAGCCCTTGTAAATGTGCTGTGCCTTCATCCTTAAGAACCAGTGATGCGACTTACTTACATGTTAGAACGTTAAGCTGAAGTTTTTTCATATGAAATTTGTGTCATCTCTCTCCTGTGAGCTTTCAGCATAGCGTATCTGACACAAAGATGCCCACAAATGCTAAGCCTCGTTGCATTATTTAGATCAAGCCAATATGCACAGAGCACCATATAAACTACTCCTTTTTAAAAAATGCAACACATATATCAGCAAACTCCCATTCCCAGGTCATTGCTATGCTCTGGGTCGAGAAGGGCCAGGAAAAAGCTTGAAGTGCCTGGCTGGCTTTTCTACAGAAGCCTCAAGGCTAGATTGCTGAAGTGAAGCATGCAAATCATTTTCTGAAGACGGCCTGGCTGCAGAGAGGATGGGTTATGATCTTGAACCCTACCCCGGTGAAGAAGCTGGACAGCTGGCTTCCCTGATTAACTAAGCCCCCATTTATCTGAAGGTTTTGGGTGTCCCCTGAGATCTTCAGATAAATGGAGTTATACTAGACATTCAAAGGAGCTGATCAAAAGCAGCCTCTTTTAATATGTATGGCAATTTGACCCACCTCTTCAATGACTGAATATTTTTACATTTCGCTTCTACCAAGGCAAAACTCTAGAGCAAAATGTTTTCAATGGGCACAAACAATTTTATTTATTTCATATATTAAATAATGTAGAGAGCCATGACAAGGTGTGAATTATTGACCATGAATATATATAACTGTGGGAGAGCAGAAATTTAGCTCCAATTTGCATACAGCAATCAAATCTCAGTATTTGAATATTATGAGCTTTTATAACTGCTTTATCAGTTTCTCAATTATTTTAATAGTTCAACCATACAATGTAAGCTGTTTGAAAAAAAACATTAAAATGCTAAGATTAACTATTTGCAATAAACCATGTCATCTTATTGCAAGCAGTAGGGTGATCTGTGAAGTTCTGTGGTGAAACACACGCAGGACCTCCTTCCAGATGGAGAATCCAAAAGAAGACAAAAGGTAGAATTTTTTGAAAATTCACCAGAGACGCAGGTACCAGCCAGTGCACGGCTCTGACCTACAAGCATCACTTCCACATTTAACCTCTACAACATAGAGCCGGTTTCAGACACACAGTTTAAAACGTAAAGACTTTGAAAAGCCTTCAAAGTCCTCATCACCGGTGTTCTGCAGGTGAACCGAGCCATCCCGGGGTCAAGATCTGTCCAACATTTCCCTCTCTGCACATACACACAATGTTAAACCATAAATAACTACATATTTAGAAAGAGGGGGAACATAGAAGACGATTATTCAAACAGATCCTGAAAATTTAGAACTTTTGCTTATTAAACTTAACTCTGTGCTGACCTCAAGCAAAAATATCAGCTACCCATCACTGCTGATGGTAATGGCCAGCAATTCCTTCCCCACGCTATTTTTAGAAAATAAAAACATTTTGGCAACATTTATATACCCTCACTAACATATGGAAACAACCGTGTAGTTTGTTGACACAGCACTCTCTTCATGCAAATAAAAGACAAAATTATTTGTGGGTTTGTGAACAGGCAAAGAGAGAATTGACTGGCTACTCTCCACGGCTCGCTGGCTGTAGCGTGCCAGTGCCAAGGGGCTTTAGTCCCAGGACTGGAACCCAACCGCTCGGGTCCATGGAGAGCACACACTAAAATGACTGTTCC